ATTATATCATTGATTGCATAATTTGCCATGACTTAAAATCTAAAATCTGTGATATTACTGCTTAAAAATAAATAGGTTGTACAATGACACTAATTCAAGTCCCCCAAAAAGGCTGGCCGTCCACGTGAGACAAATTCATGAGAGGACAGGATAATGCGGGGACTCTCAACGGGGAATCGGTTCAACACTGCAGCTGGAATTGCTTGCCAGTTCAGCGCTGAACAGGGTAAGGATCTGTCTCAGCAAGTTTAAGAGAAGTCGCACTGAAAGTGCACTCTGCAGTGGCCAAGCCTCTCATCAGCAGAAAGAATCAAAAGGCTAAGCTCACCTTTGCTGAGGAGCATATTGTGTGGAGAGCGGAGAACTGGTTCACTTTTGTGATGAGAGCAAGTTTAATTTATTTGGGTCCGATGGAAAACACTGTTCGGCGTCAAACTGAGGAAAGACTGAAGCCCAAGTGCATAAAGAAGTGAGTGAAAGCTGGAGGAGGAATAGGGTGAATGCAATCAGAACCTCCTTCAGCAACATGCAGTTCCTTCCCTGCAAGCATTTCCCAATCAGCCTGCAATTTTTCATGCAAGACAATGTCCCCGTCACACTGCAAAACAGGTAAAGCAGTTCCTTGTAGCCAAGAACATTGAAATAATGAAATGGCTGGCCCAGAGTCCTGATCTAAACTCACACCAGCACAGTGTGAGAAACTAGAGATGTGCTGATATCATTCAAAGCAAGGGCCTCTACACTTCCTATTAATTTCTGACAGCTGTAACCCTCCAAAATTTTAGTTGTAATCTTCTTTCGTGCTACAGTGATTACTGTTTTTTTGATCACTATGTTTTCCACAAAATAAAGGTTTTTGTTGAAATGCCTTGGTTATTTTGCCAAACATGTTAGTATAACAGGGGTACACCTGCAGCTAATATTCCTTGAAATTTTGAGCGATGAAGATTAAATAATTTATTTTATTTTATAAAAACCTCTGTTCCATTTAATATATTATATAAATTTGTATGTATAAGGTACATTTTTTTGTGCGTGTGTGTGTGTATGTTTATACACGCAAAAAAAATTATTGCAACATTTGTCAAATTTATAGAAATAAATACAACTAAATACATGCTCAAATTTTCGGATTCTGCATAGGGCATGTAAAATGTATGTCTGTGTATATATTTATGTATTTGCCGTTTTTTACCTTCATTTTATAGGGAAGTAGAGTGAAGTCAGGAACATTGTGTTTCATAATTTGTTTTTAATAATAATCATTTTATAATCTAATGTAACAAATCAGATAATTGCCAAAGCTGAAACAACATATTTACCCAAAATAATTATCTCAAATTGAAAACAGAAACTGTCCATTATCCATTTATAGGGGTATTGGTTGATTTTGTAAGTTTGACAAGAAGCCGATGACAGTAATCTCAATGTCTGTCACAGTCTGTCACTTATAGACAGCTTGAATGGAAATCTGAAATTGTGATGTTAATTCCTATTGTGATTATGAAAAATTCCTTTTTTTTTATGTTATATGTTTGGTCTCTGGTTTAAATTATGTGTTTCTTTAGTGGGAGTGATAGCGTCCTCATGCCCCGGTTGCTGGATGTCATTTTGAATATGTAATTTCTTCTGCACTCATCCTGATTTGACTCACACCAGTAACCACATTTTTTTCCCTCCATCTACCATTTGCGGTGAATCTTAAGAAAAGGGCGACATGACTAATTAGTGTGTTTGTTCTCACACAAGCACATTAATAACTGTCATTAATTGCCTAGAATGCAATACACAAGCAAAAAAAAATAAAGAATGGATATCAATAAGCTCACGTCCCCCAAGCCACCCGATCAAAGAGAGATAGACATTGGCTGGTACAGGAGGTGCCAAGGTACGTTGAAGGGTTATGACTTTATCTATCTAAGCTATAATTTATATTAAAGATTTTCTGATGTACTACCACATACAGGTTTCCAATGCCTAACCTCATAAACATCCAATGATTTAGCACGTGACTCGTTCCTCGGGGTGTCTGTTGTAATGAAATAGTAATTTCTTCATTCAAATTAAACATGTCTGTTGTGACATGAGTGTTTCTGTGAGCCTTGCCTCCTCGCATGACTTTTGATGAAAACTTGCTCAACAAATTGGATGTATTTATATTAAAGATTTTCTGATGTACTACCACATACAGGTTTCCAATGCCTAACCTCATAAACATCCAATGATTTAGCACGTGACTCTTTCCTCGGGGTGTCTGTTGTAATGAAATAGTAATTTCTTCATTCAAATGAAACATGTCTGTTGTGACATGAGTGTTTCTGTGAGCCTTGCCTCCTCGCATGACTTTTGATGAAAACTTGCTGAACAAATTGGATGTAACACTTATAGGTCTTAAATTCCAAAGCTGATGCTGTCAGGCCTGTTGAATATTTAATGACATAATAAAGCAGGGCCATAAAGGAACTTTATTTGTAAGTTTGTAATTCAAATGCTCCATATGCAGGCTAAATTATGTATTTCCAAAGCCTTTTCACGTATATTCATGTATTATAGAGGAGGAGGCAAGGCAATTCTAATAAATGATACATAGCAATTGATTCAGTTCTGGTGAATATAGAAATGTAAATCTTGTATGGTCTAATGTATCCCGTTTCCCATTACAGTTGATGTGAGTGAATTTTTCGTATTACGAGTGGGCCGTTTTCCCAAAGGCAGTTTCATGTGGTGTGGCAAAGATACAAACGTGTGTCATATTCTTTCGGTCTGACCCACAAGGGAGTTTTTAGCTGAGATCAAACCGTTTTCAGTACATTGATATGATGTGAAATAGAGCCTTTAATAGAACTATGATTTGCTGTTATTGTGTGTTTAATAGACATGTGGATGGCGTTTTAATGCCTGCTGTTATCTCATTTGCACAGAGACATTGAATGCATTACAGCAAGTCCTAACCTGGCATGACAAGCAATAAATCTTAAATGTTTTTGTCTTAAACAGCCGTGGCCACGACAAGCAACATACATTTTGTAGTAGTCTTTTATGCTCACCAAGGCTGCATTTATTTTAAGAAAAATACAATAAAAACAGTAATATTGTGAAATATTATTACAATTTAAAATACGTTTTCTATTTGAATATATTATAACGGAATTTATTCCTGTGATGGCAAAGCTGAATTTTCAGCATCATTACTCCAGTCTTCAGTGTCACATGATCCTTCAGAAATCATTCTAACATGCTGATTTGGTGCTAAAAAACATTTCTTATTATTATCAATGTTGAACACCCATGTTAATATTTTGTGGAAACTGTGATACATTATTTTCAAGATTCTTTGATGAATAGAAAGTTCAAAAGAACAGCATTTATTTGAAAGAGATTTTTTTTTGTAATGTAAAAATGTAAAAGTCCTTCCAGTCACTTCTGTATAATTTAAGTATAAATATAAATGAATAAAAGTATTAATTTCCTTTTTTAAAAATTATACTGTCCCCAAATATTTGAGTATAGCTAAGATTCTATGCACAATTTTTATGCAAATTTTGGGATGCCGGCTAAAATGCTGAATAGAAAAAAAAGGTACATAAAACATTTGGTGGCTAATTATTTTTATTAAGTAAGAAAAAAAAATGCATAGAAAAAATGGTGGAAAAACATTTACCAAATTCAAGATAAGCATTGCAAAAAAAAAAGTCATGTGACTCTACCTCAAGTCATGTGACTGACTCATTTGCTCAAATGATTAGGTGCGTTCAACTTCATGCAGCACTGCGCAGACCGATCGGCGACTGACTTGAAGCAGTGCATGCCGGTTAGAAATTTAGTCCGACCTGAACCGGCGCCGACGCCACTGTCACGTGTGGCATCAAAGTACCGCGATAGCGTTTCGAGAGCAGCCGGCTGACTCAGCTGGCGCAGCTTTTTCAGAGCGACTGCAGGAGTGCTGATTACGACACAGCTGTTTCACGATTGGCCAAATTCACCACATGACAACAATGACGTGTGTTTCTAACATCTTCAAATCCAATACTGCTCATAAATCTGTTTTTAGAACAGATTATTTAGAATTTAAATAGTATATATTTACATTGAAATTTATTCTTGAACAGATGGCGCTGTATTAAGCAGTATATAAAAAGTGTTTCTGTTGCTCGTGAAAACGTTTCTGAAACGTCTGTGTATTTGACAAATATTGCATTTAATTCACTTTATCTGTGATAGAGTATGCAAACACCGCGCGAGCGTCAACAGGAGCAGAAAGTGTCCGGCTTGACGGCTCCGTTTTCAACTCCGCCCCCGACTGCAAGCGGCTACTCTCGTTGATCGCCGTCTGTAGCCGTGCTTCAAGTCGAACGCACCTCTTGACTACTACTACCTCCCACAATTGTCAAATGACATACTGTCACTGCCCCCACAATGATTCTCACTGGTCCCACAATCACATTTTAAACATCAAATATATTCTTTCCCAATCTGATGAGATTTGTCAAATTCTACAGCGTTTTCTCTTTCAGCGTGGACAGAAAAATAACTGGAAACTTGCAGATGTTGTATTTGGTTAGAACACTGTGTTTGTAAAATAAGCCTATTACATTCGCTTCTCGTCCATATTCAGCAGAGCACACCTGATTGATTTTTTCAATAAACAAAATAATCAGAATCCTTATTGGATTATCCAGTTGAAATGATGCCAATATCCATTTCTTGCACTCCCACTGTTATACTGTCTAAAATAAACAGTCAGATATCTAGCAGTGTCAGTGTTTCTCCCCCTGAAGATTAATAGATTCATGTATTAATAGATGTCAAAGGTGGGAGGTTTGGAGAGATTTGTTTGAGTGACTTGTGAAATGTGAAGCATTTACATTTTGTTTGTCACAGTGGTACGGTGTATAGCGGGGTTGTATCCCCGGAGGGAATCTGCACCCTTGTGATTGAATCTCCCTGATTTAATACACTCATCACTGACCTGTGCTTCCCTCTCTCCATCTCTCTCCCAGGAATGTGAGTTCGGCAGGAGAGGAGGCTCGACGGCGGATGAGAGAATGCGAGGGTCTGACTGACACGCTGCTTTTCGTCATCCAGACTTCCCTCGGAAGCAGCGAGATTGATAGCAAGGTAAGCTTTCCTCCCGGGATCTGTCCATCTCTTCCAGAGCTATTAAGGCAACCTGTTGTAAGTGTCTGTGAGTGTGTGTAGAGGTTCATGGAATGTTCTGTAACAAATAAACAGCTCTGTGGTTGGCTGCTGTCTGAAGGTTGTGAAGGCCCGCTCTTCTAAATGGCGTTCTTTAATCATGATTTAACTGGCAGCCCTCCGTCAGGCCCAGCGTGCTAATAGCAGAGCGGAGGGGATGCATCCGTTCTAATGAGAATTGAAGAGCAGAGTGTATGGATGCTGGAGCGTGGCACAGTTTTTTCCCTCTGGTCATTTTCAGACTTGCGAGCATTCCAGCCTTCCCACAATTCCCGCTGTCTGAATCCCCCCACGGTGCACTCTCAACCACCTCTCCTCACCAAACTCACAGCATGGCTAATTAAAAATAGTGTACTTGAATTTCTTGTAATATTTCTTCAGGCTTTATAGGCTGTATGTAGACAGTTAAAACTTGCTTAAAGGTTTAAAGGGACAGATCACCCAAAAAAAATTAAATTATTTTACTCACCATCATGTCATTTCAAACCTGTATGACTTTCTTTCTTCGTCAGAACACCAAAGAAGTTACTTTGAAACGCATCTCAATGTCCAAAACAATACTGGACCTCATTCACTTTCATTGTATGGACAAAGACAGTTGAAACATTCTTCAAAATATCTTGTTTTGTGTTTCAACAGAATAAAGTCATACAAGTTTGGAACGACATGAGGATGAGAAAACTAATGACAGATGATGACTGATAATTCATTTTTGAGTGAACTATCGCTTTAATAACATCCACCAATGTTCAAATGAAACCTACGCCATACTTCTTCGTTTACCTGTTGCACATAGTTTGTAATGTACTAGTTAAAGTGGTCAACTATGTGACTAATTGGTTTTTACAACAAATAGTGAATATTCCTGACTACTTTCCCAAAAACGATGTATACCTGGTAAGATAAGACTAAAATTAGTTAGGTTGAAAAGTGTATTGTGTGTTTTAATGCTAAACTCTCTTCAAGTTGTTGTATCTGAATTAATCTCTTTCTGCAACAAATTCTCAACATTAATTTTCAACATATTTCAAGATAGTTACTGTTGGATGTCAATCCATGTGAGCAATGTTCACGTTTTTATGCATACTGTGACAGTTATGTGCAATGAAGGTTATTTGAAGTGTACTTCAGTTTTCAAATGAACACTTAGCATATGCATACAGCCGAGCACATAACCTTCCAAAGTATACTCCAGTTTAAGCGTGCGCAAACACAGACTCTAGACACACGCGCACAAGAAAGCTTCATCCATCCCTCTCCAGAAGTTATTAGCGATAAAAGTGTTTCTGTACTCGTTTAAACTAAAGTTGTGGTCTCTTAACCCCCTCGCACAAGTGCTTGTCAACGCAGGCATCTATTGTTGTCAGCATTTTGTTGTTGTTCATCCATATCATCCATTTCTTTTCAACTGTGAAACAACAGGCCGGATCCATGTTGCCACCTCAGTGCAAGAAAATTCAAGACACATGCAATTCTGAGCATACAAGCTTAGAAAAATTAGTTTGCGCTCATGCATGCGCATATTATGCTGATGTTGAAATTTACACCACACACTGTATGCTTACCCTCAAGTACATGTAAAAAAAACAAAGTATACTTTGCAGTGCACAGCTGGTAAGCTAAGAACAATGGTGTAGGTTTCATTTGAACATTGGTGGATGTTATTAAAGGGATACAGTAGTTCTCTCAAAAATGAAACATCTGTCATTAATTTGCTCATTCCAAACATGTAGGACTTTCTTTCTTCTGTGGATATTTTGAAGATATTTTGTTTATATATGTTTCAACTGTCTTTGGTTGTATAATGGGTCAAGTATTGTTTTGGACCCCACTGCCTTTAATTGTATGAACAAAACAAAAAACATTGAGTCATTTTTTAAACTATCTTCTTTTGAGTTCTGCAAAATAAAGAATGTATACTTTGGTTTAATGCATGTGTCGCTAAAAATCTGATATTCGGACTCTTCTCATTGTGTACAGCTGCACTAAAAATACAGATCAATGCAAAAAGCCAGCCGTCAGGTGTAATGAAGCACTTGAGAGTTGAAAACACACTGATAAGCTTGGGAAGCATGTCTAGTGGGCTTCGCCACTGTGCCATTTGTCCCCATTTTACTGCGACATTTTGAGTTTCGTCTAAATGTAAAAATACTAATTCTATAAGTGCACCTCCAGCCTGTGGTTACACCTTTTCTTCTTCCCTATACATTTTTAGCTCATTTTAGAGCACTGAGCACTCTTTTTCATCCATCAGTGTGCTTTAACACATTACAAACGCTCAGAAAAACAACAGCGACCATTTAACCCATCACACTGGCTTCGGAAAAGGGCAATCACCCTAATCACTCCAATTTCTTTATGTGTGGTGATTTGCCCAGAGCTGTTTTCGCCAGGTGTTGGCCCAGCAGAGCTATAATTGCTGAAAGCACACTGCCTATGGTCTTAATGTGCCGTTAACCTGTGGTTGGTCAAGCTCAGTCCTTTTGACTTTAGCATTTAAAATGGGGACCTTGTAAATGGCTGGCAGTAAGAGAGATGGTGTTGCCCTAAATTTCACCAGGTGCGATATTCATTATGTTGCACGTTTTCAGGGAAATTTCAGCAGAACTTGTTTTGTTTTCCTCAAAAACATAAAAAAAATGCAAGGTCAGACGTGTCTGGCACAGAGAAGGGCTGTTGTTAAGCCAATATGTTTCTGTACGTCTGAAATGCCAGTGCATAATTCTCTGAGCGTTTCTCTGATTACAGTCATTATTTTTGTTTGTGCAGGGCATGGTCCTCCTCGTTCCATAATGGGGAAAAAAAGAAAAACATGGAGATTGAGAAAAATGCTCGTTTTTCATCATCATTTTGCAAGCATTTATTTTCTATTTTCCACTGTCAAGCATTGTGCCTGCTCTGCTGTGTCTCCTTGTAATACCCTGTTAAATGGAGTGTGAGCCGATGGATTTGGCTGGTCATTTTTCCCCATCTGCGAGTATATCCTTTAATCACATTTAAATGGGAGACCGTGTCAGACATATAATTAAGTACTTTCATATACTTATAGTGCCAATGTAGCCTACACTTCCAGCGAACACTCAGAGAAAGACGGAGACAGCGGAAATGAGAAAGTTAGCTGAAGTGAAAGAGAGACACGGAGAGAGATAAATGTAACTAGGTTTTAAACACTGTAGGATGTAACCTTGCTGTGTTTGACAGGCCCTAGACATGTCTTTCTCTAATACAGGGATCTTAAAGTCAAATCACCTAATTGTTTAAAGCAAATACATGTTGTTTTTACATCCACAAATTTGAGTTATAATTTTTATTTTATTTTATTTTATTATTTGTATATTTTGTTATTTTATCTTTTTCTCAAATTACCTGCCAGTTAAAAGCAAATACAAGTTGTTTTGCACAAAAACACTTTTTTATTTATTTATTAAATTAATTATTTATTTATAATTTATATATAAAATAAAATGCCTCCCAGTTTTACAACCATACATATCTTTATTTTTTATGTTTTACTTTATTTTATTTTACTTCATTTTTTACTTTAACAGTCCTACTAGAGAACTGCAACCATAATGCAGAAAGTAAAAACTGATTTGCAGGCACAATTTCAGGATAAACTACTAAATCTTAAGAGACTGAATTTAAATTAAATGAAATCGTGCAAGCCAGTAGTTAGAGACGCGTTTTGTAATGGCTGCTTTTTTCTGAACACTTAATTTAAGTGTTTTTTAAAAACTTAATTTAAGTTAATTGTTATGACAGCATAAGGAGTGCATGCAGACCACTGTGTGTGTGTGTGTGTGTGTGTGTGTGAGAGAGAGAGAGAGAGAGAGAGAGAGAGAACAAATGTGTGTTTCCTCTTGTCTCAGAACCAGCATGAGCTGGATAGATGAAGTTTGGCCCCTCTGGTCAGATGGGCTTTATCAAGAGCTCAGTGGTGCTAGACTAATACCTGCCCAATATCTGTCTCTCTCTTTCTCCGTCAGACCATAGAAAACTGTGTATGCATTTTGAGGAACCTCTCGTATCGGCTTGCAGCTGAAACGTCTCAGGGACAGCAGATGGGAACGGACGAGCTGGACGGCCTCCTGTGTAGCGATTCCAGCGGGAAGGAAGGAGAGACCTCGGGCTGCTGGGGAAAGAAGAAAAAGAAGAAGTCCCAGGACCAGGTGGGCCATCCAAAGCAGCATTTACAGGCTGCAATTTGACCCTCACCTGCTGACAATCACTCTAACACACTTTACTTGGAAATCATAGTCCAGAGTACCATGAAAGAGGCTATTTAAAGTCAACAGGAAAACTATTTTTCTGTTTTTATCATATGTGACCCTGGACCACAAAACCAGTCTCAAGTCGCTGGGGTGTTTTATCCTATATTCTATATATATATATATATATATATATATATATATATAATATAACGATTATTATATTATATTATAATATTATATTAGACAGTTTAATAATGAATAGTTATTATGCAGTGTAATATCGTATATTATACATTATATTTTTAGATTACATTAGTTTATATGATACTATACACACACATATATATAAACAAAAAGTCAAGTCTTGCCCTAATTTTCACTTGTCACATTATGGAAGTAAAATAGCTTGTGAAAGTCAATTTGTGTTGACTGACTAAAGATAGAAGGTTGTATTTCACAATAAAATGCTTTTCTGCTTTTGAAAGAGAGCCCAGCAAAAATGAGGTAGATCATGTTCCATTAAGATATTTTGTACATTTCCTACTGTAAATATATCAAAACTTAATTTTTGATAAGTAATTTGCATTGCTAAGGACTTCATTTGGACAACTTTAAAGCCGATTTTCTCAATATTTTGTTTTT